GCTGAAATCAGCTGAACTAGAGCTGAAATCAGCTGAACTAGAGCTGAAATCAGCTGAACTAGAGCTGAAATCAGCTGAACTAGAGCTGAATTCAGTTCAACGAGAGCTGAAATCAGTTCTCCTGAATGAGCTGAAGGTTTGGATATAAAAACAGCTAAAGGAGCTGGAGGAAGCAGAACACAGACTTCTCGAGCGGCAGGATGTGAGGTCCAGAGATGGAGTATCTGTAGACGAAGGTCAGGAACTTCTGGAAGACGGTGAAGAAGGGCCAGTGGGACAGGACACAGATGCTCTTCTTGACGTGGAGGCTTCGGCTGCTGATGGGACGCCTGTCCACCACGCTGAGCAGACCCAGCTGGATGCTCTGCCGCTCCGTCAGGAGGTCCCTGCAGAAGGACTCGTAGAACTGGATGGCAGCTCCGTAAACCTGCAGGAGGAGGCAGCCGTCATGTTCTGAGACACAGCTCAGCGTTTACATTTCCTGTTAAACAACACAAGCTTTCAAACAGAAAACAGCTAAAACCTGTCGGACCAGTTAAAGCTGAAACCTAATCTGCTTTTTAAGATTTTACATTTCAAAGGTTTTAAATAACAAAGGTCTGGTGGTTGTTCAGGCCGTCTGATTAATTTAAATGAACCCCCTCTTCAGTAGCTGCAGTCTGCTGATTCTTGTCTCACTCAATCCCAAAGTGCAGACAGATGTTGGCCCCGCCCACCTTGTCCCCGGAGGCGGACGTCAGGACGAAGGTGGAGAAGACGGGCAGCTGGTACTTGGTGTTGAGGGGCCAGCTCTCCACGCTGACGCCCATCGGCAGACAGAACACCGGCACCGACTCGGGCAGAGGGAACGAGTCCAGGTCCTCCTCCGGGTACCGGCTGATGAGACCTGCAGCAACAAACAGCTTCACAGCACATCTGGAACCCCTGATCTGGACCGGACCAGCCAGTCTCTAGACCTGGACTCACTCAGACCTTTAACTGAAGGATCAACAGATTTATTTAGCTGGTAAATCTTTTAGATCCACAGTCTCCACTTCCTGTCTTTAGATTCTCTTTAGCTAAAACTGGTAAATAGCTTGACCTTATGTAGCGCTTCCTTAAAGGGATCCAGGATTAGTTGTAACATTAGGCTTTATCTAATAAACATTTATTTTAACTGTAAAACAAATATCAAAAAGAAAATAGGCGGAGGCGGAGCTTATAAAGCTGAGTTTTACCTGGATTAATGAGATGCATCAGGACATGTAAAATAAAGACTGTAAAAATACTGTAGGCTGTTTAGTTTTGATCATTTTTTAAAATATATTTTAACACAGACGGTGCCATTTTATTTGCACACAAAGCATTCTGGGTAAATGATGACGTGGATAGGTCCTCGGTGCGAGGCTGCTAGCGAGCTATATCCACCC